TCCGCACCGCCCTTGGTCCCCCGTGATCCGCACCGCCCTCGGTCCCCCGTGCTCCGCACCGCCCTTGGTCCCCCGTGATCCGCACCGCCCTCGGTCCCCCGTGCTCCGCACCGCCCTTGGTCCCCCGTGCTCCGCACCGCCCTTGGTCCCCCGTGATCCGCACCGCCCTCGGTCCCCCGTGCTCCGCACCGCCCTTGGTCCCCCGTGCTCCGCACCGCCCTTGGTCCCCCGTGCTCCGCACCGCCCTTGGTCCCCCGTGCTCCGCACCGCCCTTGGTCCCCCGTGCTCCGCACCGCCCTTGGTCCCCCGTGCTCCGCACCGCCCTTGGTCCCCCGTGCTCCGCACCGCCCTCGGTCCCCCGTGCTCCGCACCGCCCTCAGTCCCCCGTGCTCCGCACCGCCCTCAGTCCCCCGTGCTCCGCACCGCCCTTGGTCCCCCGTGATCCGCACCGCCCTCGGTCCCCCGTGCTCCGCACCTCCCTCAGTCCCCCGTGCTCCGCACCGCCCTTGGTCCCCCGTGCTCCGCACCGCCCTCAGTCCCCCGTGCTCCGCACCGCCCTTGGTCCCCAGTGCTTCGCGCTGTCCTCGGTGCCCTGTGCTTCTCGCTGTCGTACTGGCCGTCACAGGTGACGCACGGAGCCGAGCGAGAGCCGGGGAGAGTTCCCTCCGACCGGCGCAAATGACGTCATAGCGCGACGTGCCCCTAATGTCAGTAGCCCTGGGTGGACTGTGGCCGCCAGCGTCAATGCTCGGCGATAAGAACGTGTTCTGGGAAGCGTTCATGGCGCAATTCATTCTGTCGGATCAGGTTTGCCAGAGATGTGGCAGATATCAGTGCGGAAGGAACTGTCCGATAATTGAGTGTGTTTTGTAGCGTATCTCACTGAAGGCAGCGCTGATAAACGCAGTGATACGCCGTCTGGAATGTTTCGGAGGAATCCGGCTAAAATCGTCGTTGCCCAGTTCACTCCCAGGCTCCGCTTCTCTTCTCATAACAGGTGATTGCTTGAAGCCTGGGAAAAGTGACACAAGTACAGATTCCTGCAGACTTGAGAGAGACGCGATGAGAGATTTTTTATTGAAGCTACCCCATGTTTGATATGGTGTGTTCAGTGAGCCAGAGACAGGCCGCCACGCCGACCGGGGCGGCGGGTGGCGGCGCGCGGAGAGCTGCTGGATCAGTGGGCGCCGCATGACCGCGTCCAGGGGACCGACGATGTTCTGTGATCTTACCTAACTTTTCCAGATCCTAAAGCCATAAGTAAGTTGACAATTCTTTATCGAATGTTAGAGGTTTGGAGAATCAACCCGGTAGTTACGGAACGGAGCATGACATTGTCCCCGGGCGCCAACATCTCGTTTTGGTATTTGGAGACCTGCCAACTGATCTAACGTCAACGCATCATAAAGCCAAGAGCTACACATGCTCAGTCGAATGGGGAAGGTTCGGAGACAATTGTTCGAGTACTTCCCGATCTGATCTGATTGTCCGCGAGCACAAACATCACGCTCTGGCCATGTCGTGACCTCTGAGTTTACCAAAGTAGAAAGTGAAGGGGGTGAGTCACACATTCTGCATCAGTTGGTTAAAATTCCATGAAAGTCGGCGCAGAAGTTCCCCAGCACGGGATTGCCCGTGGCACGCAATATCATGTTTAAGCCATGACCTGACCTGTGAGGTGTCCTAAGGTTACCATATTAAGTGAGCAGAGGTAATTGGACGTTTATGATTGACTGCGGGAGGTGTTAAGGTCATCAGTTGCGTGGTTTCCGGGCATTGGTATGAATAGTGGAAAATATTACGTTTTATTATTTTTTACCTGTAACATAACCCTAGGTCACCAAATTTAAAAGCCGTCATTAAGTGGTATGTGAAAAATGTTTTAGTAAATGTTTGGGATAAATTGGTTCAACAGTTTCTGAGTATGGATATGTCAGCAGACGCCATGTGTATGGCGGTCATTTCGTGACCTTTGCCTTACCTCGGTCATCAAATTGAAAGGCTCGTTGTACATCGCCAATGCTGAATCCATTGGTGCCTATTTTTTTTTTATTGATATCGGTGTAGTACTTTTCGAGCATGGGATTGTCGGCATTTTTCTAACCATGTCTGGAACGGTGCTAGCGCACCTTGCAGCCCGTTTTCACCATGCATAACATGACTCCAGGTTCTGGAACTCAAAGACTCCTCAGAAGTCATATCTAAAGTTTCGGATGATGAATATTTTATCGCAATTCGATGTTAAGCTCCGGAGCATGGGGCTGTTAGCAGCCCATATTAGTAAAGTAGAACCATCGGGACGTGCGCGATCAGCTGGTTAATCCAATGTGGCAATCCAACCTTCTCTCCACACTTCTTGTCTCATGATACCCCACATATCCGTTACCGGACGTGTTTGTGGCGTATTAGGGAGACATTCAACCGTCTTGATGTCGGGTATGGCCAGCCTTCCATAGGGTGCCGATAATGCAGCGGTTAACGCGTTTGCGTTAACCACCGGGCGTCTTGGAAACCAGAGGTATGGGGTTTGATTCACCGCGGTACCCGCCCTGCCTGCCAGGGTGAGAGGCAGGCAACGCCATATAGCATCAGCAGCGGAGTGCGTCGTAAAGCCCTAATGCCCCCCCCCCCTCCCCCTCCAGCCAGCTCTTCTTGGAGAGCAAGTATCTGTGTCGTGCAAGTGTCGAAGGCTCACCCGCATGGTGAGCGTTCGCCAAGGCTGACAAGTACACGCAGTGCTGCTCTGGATATTTCTCATCCGAGGACGGCACAAATTTCGCCTTGATGTACGTGTCTCGTTAGGGACTCGCTGCTGGCGGTTGTCGTGGTCCCGCGGAATGCGGATCCGAGATTCCACGGGAGCTGACTGCTATTGTCACCATCACCTTCCTCGGGAACTTTACTTGGGACTCGAGCCTTTTGTGGATTCGGGTGTCGCCATTATGAAAACGATATCATTTGTCACTCGTATCGCGCATGACTTCCACCATTCTTCTTCACGTTTTCTTCGATCCTTCACTCCTTATAGCAAGCCGTGGGATACCCCGACTGTAGCCTTCTACATGCAATCGCCACCACTTTCTACATGCAATCCGTCATTTTTATTGTTTTGTTGTTGTTTTTTGTATTTTCCAATGTGTTTCATCCCTGGTCCCTTATCCATTCGGTGTATCAACGTTGAGTGCTTGTAGCAATACCTGTGGTAAAAAAACGTACTGTTGTAAATGACTAGGGGGCAGTTACGATGTATTTACGGGAATTCAGCAATCAGCTTGCAAACCAGATGTTTGGTCAGCGTTGCCGTATTGAACCAACGTAATATAAACATATTACCGGCATGCAATGTAGCACTGTATTGGTATCCACAATGCGGTGTGATAAACTAACTACGGTTTTAACATCATTAAAGCATTGACTTGTGCGGAAAGTTTTCACTTACACGTTAGAAATATTACGAACATGGAACAAATAGTATATGGGGCAGCAGGAGAGCATTGTCCGACTTGAATGTTTTGGCGGATTGCATTTGGATGGAACTCTTGTGATTGCCTGGTGTCCCAAAAAGCGTTATTCGTTTGGTGCCGTCACTTCTTTATTCCTTCGGTTCGCTTTTATAGAAGATATTGTTTTCACAACACCAGTCTTTGTGACAACGGCAAACAAAATATGTTTTGAGTGAACGCAACAATAAGCATTCGGCAGCAACGTAGTGCAGTGACCGTACGCTACGTATATTACCACTCTTGATTTAGTAGCCTATACCGTCATTAACCAGTAGCGTCTAACATCACTCGCTTAGTAGCCTTCATTTGCTCGCCGCCTGCTTCTGATAGCATTTCTGGGATACAGGACCAATCATCAGCGGACCCTGAGTTGTTTTGATCCTGCCTGACTTTGCAACTGGGCCTCCCTAACATTGAACACTGACATCTGCCCGTGTCCAGCATACGCGTGCGCTTTCTCACGACATTTCTTTTGCTGTACCTCGTGCGTGGCATTATCTACACCCCAGATCAGTAGCAAAATTAATAGTTTATCGCAAAAGATATTGACGCTATGAAACCTCAATGTTTGTCCAGATTTCAGGTAACCATCCGTCATCGCAGAACAGTCGCCCCGTAAGCTAGTCAGATCTGCCCGTCTGCCTGTACTTGAATGTGTCGGAAATGTTAGACCGTGTGAAGGGACGCACCTGACTTCGCGCTTTGCGATCTGTGTGCTCACCCATTGCATGTTGACATTGTTTTCCCCGTTAGATGTATACGCAAGGTTGTGTGTAGTTAACTTATGCTCGGCGCCTTGTTTATGCTGTGTCATTCTGCGTATCTCCGCTCTGTTTAGGTAACATCCCTGAAGACCTTGTTGCTCCCTCCGCGCATTCATCATCGCTGTTTTGGTGCCGTCCCCCTCCCTTCACTCCCCACGCCCACCGCCCTTCATTTGTCTGCTCCGCTTTGTACTCGTCCCCCCACAAAAGTTTGTCTCTAGTACCTCTCCATATAATTTTTCCTGATCTGCAGGTTTTGATGTTACACCTACTCTGCCATATTAACATTTCCTCGCGTATGCCCGGTTCTGCCCGTGCTATTTTCTGCTACGTTTCCTCTCAGTTGTCTTGTGTACCGCCTTGCTCAATCACTCTCCTTGGTCATTCATCGTTCACGCGACTTGAACTGTCATTTTGATCTGAAGCTTCATTTTTTGCTACTATTTTTCTTTGTATCATGCTTGCCTCGGAACGGGCTTGCAGAAAATGCATGGCGGTTTTCGCTTGTTGCTGTTTTATTGTTGTTCTTTTCGGGGAGCATGTGGCTTCAACCCGAGATGTGGGAGGCTCCCAGAAAGATACAGAAACCAGACTCATCGAGAGGAGTGCGCCCTCCCCCCCGTCAGGGATACAAGCCCCGGCCATGACCACTCCTGGCATCCCCCTGCGCCAGATGAAGCCGCCGGCCGCCTCCGGCCCAGCCGCGCTGACCTGCCGTCTCTCGCCTTTCCAGCGAGCTGGAGGCCCACTGGGAGACGATCCGGGCCGAGATGCTGTCGCTGCTCAGCTCGGACCGGCCCGAGGACGGCTTCCAGCCGGAGCAGGAGCAGCTGAGCAAGAGCGGCGACTGGAAACAGTTCACGCTGTTCCGGCGCGGCCGGCGCGACCAGTACGCCTGCGCCAAGGCGCCCAAGACGTGCGCGCTGGTGCAGCGCTTCCCGGAGGCGGCAGGTAAGTCTTACCGACCGCGCGCTGTCGGTCGTTTGATTGAGATGATCCGCGCGTTGCCGGATGATCGCCATCGGGTGTCGAGCGATGTCCTTCAGCTGCTCTCGGGCTATCTCCTCGGGTGTCGAGCGATGTCCTTCAGCTGCTCTCGGGCTATCTCCATTGCCGCGCCCGGCGTGTGATATATATCGCTGTCCAGTTGTTTGGCGTTGGCCTGTGTTTGTCGCGTGCGCCCCGGCGCGTTCGTGGCTGCTGATAGTGCTAGCCGTGGGGCAGCACGTGACACCGGCCCCTGTAGGCAGCGTGCTCGGCCGGTGTCGACCGTGCCGGCTGCCGCGCGCCGCTGCCCGGCCGTGACGCGGCGCTCCGTCTGCGTCTGTGTCGGCAGGCTGTCGGCGCGGCCAGGTCAAGTTCAGCATGCTGGCGCCGGGCACGCGCGTCTGGCCGCACACGGGCCCCACCAACTGTCGGCTGCGCTGCCACCTGGGCCTGCAGGTGCCGCCCGGCGCTGGCATCACGGTGGCCGGTCAGAACAGGTGAGATGCGCGCGGCTCGGCGCAGAACCACGGCGTGGACGGGCGATTACCGCCCGCTGCCCAGCCGCGCAGGCCCGGAGAGCTGGCCGGAAGCTGGCCCGACCGCGCGATGTCAGATGCTTAGTGGTCGCCTTTCTGGTTTGATTGACCGTAATGTGACCGGTTTATTAACTGCCGGCGATGTCGTGAGAGCAACTGGCAACTATTTCCGTTCACTACCGTTTCCATCACTTCTATCCATGCCGAGCTTGTCAAAGATGCGGCGAAAAATATAGGAGCTATTTGTGTATGCAGATGCTGTGCACTACCGCAATGTCTCGGTCAGGCGTTTTTATTCGCGCTAATGTATGTTGCGCTCCTGAGAATTTGCGTTGTGCGTGCTTCCTGCAGGATGAAAATGCTTTCACCGTTATCGAGAGCATTGTCCTTGATTCGGCGTGGATTAGTCGTACGGCGCCATTTTTCTGGGTGACGAACAATAGTTATATCTGTCGGTTTCCTTGAGTCGTGCACCTTATCTGTGGCCGTGCGTGGTCGGCGGCTGCGGCGGCGGGCCCTCATTGTTCGCGGCCGGCTGGTTTCCTTCCGTTCGACGTCCGGCACCGCCTGTGGGCCGGCTGAAATTTGAGAGCGGCCGCGGCGGCAGCGTGGACCGGGCGCGTCAAGAGGCTCACCTGGGTTGCCGCTCGGGGGCTTTCTGCAGGATTGGCGCTGTACGAGTGCACGGGTGTTCGCTAAACCAGGAATCGCTGACCAATTCGCCGTTCGTGGATATGTGCGTGGGTGGTGGCGGGGTGGGGGGACTGTGGGCACGCCTGTGTTTCTGACGAGCGCGCCTCTGCGGCAGGACGTGGGAGGAGGGCAAAGTGCTGATCATCGACGACAGCTTCGAGCACGAGGTGTGGAACGACGGCGAGCGGACGCGCTACATCCTCATCGTGGACATCTGGCACCCGGAGCTGACGGAGGAGGAGCGGCGCACGCTGCCCACCATTTAGCGGCGCCGACCGCTCGGCTCTGTGATGACGCCGGCTCCGGCGAGCGCTGCGGCTGCTGGGAGGGAGTTGAATGGGACAAGATTAGGTGCGCGGTGGCAGGCGCGGCCCGAAGGCGACCTCTGCTCTTTTACATGGCGCGTGGCCAGGCCGGCCGGCGCTGTGCGGTGCGGTGCGGTGCGGTGCGGTGCGGTGCGCGGTGCGGTGCGGGTGCGGTGCCGTGCGGCGGGTGCGCGCGTTTCCCCGTGTGTGTGTGTGCGAGTGTCCCGCGTGCTCCCCGTGTGTCGCGTTGGCGCGGCGTGTCCTGCGGCGGGCGGGCGCGCGCGGTCGACGCGCGAGCTTACCGATCCTGCGGGAGCCGCGCGCGGCCCGCCCGCCTTGGAGTGTTGTGACGGACCGCCCGGCCGGGATCTGTCGGCCTCGGGGAAGTCGGGAGTCGTTGCCAACGGCCGGCTGCGGCCTTGCGCTTACGCACCGCCCGACGGAGAAAACTCATTGTACAGAGCTCTTTTATTATCAACTGACACTGGCAGACGCGAAATACAAGAGTCGGCCAGACTCTCGGGCCCCGAGTGGCGTTGGCTTCCTCGCTGCGGACTTTGACACAGACTGGGTGCGTGATGCCCAGCCCGGCACGGCCACATGGCGCGTCACCCATACACGCGCGCACACCATCACTGCCCGTCAGGAGGGCACCACAAACAGCTCGCGGGGTAACGACCACTCACAACGCGCCCGCCGGGCGCCACCAATAACAGCTCGCTCGCCACACACGCACGCAGGCGACCTATGTACAGTGGAACAGGGGGTATGTACATAACGCGGATGGCTACTGGCCCCATCAACCGTAGTGCGGCTTCTGACTGGTGATGGGCCGCCACGGCCCCTTACAGCACGGCTCGGGGCCCGCGTGACCGGCGTCGCCGTAGCCCTGATGGGGCTGCGGGGCGCCATACTGTGCCGGCGCCTGAGGGCGCGGCGCCCCGTACTCAGCCTGCGGCTCGTGGTCGCCCTGCGACGGCTTGAAGGAGCCGTGCTGGATCTGGGGACCTGGCGCGTTGTACTCCTGCTGGGGCTGGGGAGCGCCGTATTCCTTTTGGGGCTGAGGAGCGCCATATTCCTTTTGGGGCTGGGGAGCGCCGTATTCCTTTTGGGGCTGAGGAGCACCATATTCCTTCTGGGGCTGGGGAGCGCCGTATTCCTTTTGGGGCTGAGGAGCGCCGTACTCCTGCTGTGGCTGGGGAGCACCATACTCCTGCTGGGGACGAGGAGCGCCGTATTCCTTTTGGGGTTGAGGAGCGCCATACTCCTGCTGGGGCTGAGGAGCGCCGTATTCCTTTTGGGGCTGAGGAGCGCCGTATTCCTTTTGGGGCTGGGGAGCTCCATACTCCTGCTGAGGCTGAGGAGCGCCGTACTCCTGCTGAGGCTGGGGAGCACCGTACTCCTGCTGGGGACGAGGTGCGCCGTACTCCTGCTGAGGCTGAGGAGCGCCGTACTCCTGCTGGGTCTGGGGAGCACCGTACTCCTGCTGAGGCTGAGGAGCGGCGTGGCCGCCGCTTGTCTTCCTTGGCGGCTCCAGGAGGCTGTTCTTGTGCGTCTGCGACGAGCCATGCTGCCTCTCCGGGCCGTACCCGCCGGTGGACTTTGGCACGTACACGGGCGCCTTGTTGTTTTTGGGCCGGTGCGAGTGCTTGGGCGGCACCACGAACATGATCTGTTGCGGGGAGGCCGTGTCGTACACCTGAAACACAGACGGCTTAGACGCGCGCGGCCGCCAGGAGCGCGATCAACCCGGCGTTGTGATGCGGGAAATCCGCGGTGATTGCAAGATGATTGTAACACGGCACGGGTTGTGCCTCATGCTTATTTAAGGGGAGGGAGTGAGTGCGTATGAAATCATAGGGATGGCGCGACAAACGTAGAATTTGTGTTAGGTACGGTGGTATGCGACGTTTTAACACTTCATGCTTGGACAGAAAGCTTATAAGCGGGTGCCATCGTGGATGGCGCTCTTGATTTAGCTTACCTGTAGTTTCGGTGGGAAGACGATGCAGTTCTCCATTTACGAAGATTAGTGGACACTGAAACTCTTAACGAAAGTCAACAGATTGTTTAGCGGCACCCGGACCCAGATATTCGTTATTTAACGTGGTTTACGGGTGTTTGCGAGAACGTATCTCGGTGTAGATTTATTTAGATGCGAGCTTATCACGTTTAGTTTTAGGTAACATCACTTATCGTGGCGATGCTGGCCGTTTAATAGGTCAAGAGGTCAGGTGGCAGGTCGCGACGTCCAAAATCGTATTCGCCAATGTATTTATTTACATATTCACAGGAGGGCAAGAGAGAAGTCTCACACGGGGTTGGCCGCCCTCTCGCCCCTTTCCTCTCTCACACGCACGCACACCTTTTAACAATCTGCCCTAGCTAACGCTACCTAAGGGCCGAACGCATCTGGCATAGCGTCCACTGCTCCAGGTGTAGTCTGGTTTGACGAGGGCCACCACTGAAGCACACGCCGACAGACGCTCGGGAACGCGGGAAAAACACGTGGCGCGGGCGCGCCGGGTTTCATCATGGCCATGGCGGCGCGCGGGGCCGCGTTCGCACCGTTTGACGCGCCGCTCTCGCTCCAAATCACCGCAGCCAGGTCACACCCTCCGGGCGCCCCGCAACCGGCGGCGGAGGTCAACCTTTGATCCGGGGTCAGTCGGGCTGGGACGCGACCTTGCGCTTTGGCCGGGGGCCCCACGGGGCGCGAGGCGGCCCGAAGCGTTTGAATGACGCAGCTGATGACCAGCCTCCGGCTCACAGGTCCCGCCGCCGGCAGCGAGGGGCGCCACCCCTCCCCCCCACTTGGAAGAGACTAAGGGTGTTCACGTCCCTCAGTAGGAGCGTGGGTCGCGTTTTGTCTGTCTCCTGGACAGCTCAACGGGCGCCAGCGGAGCTGTCGCTCTCGGCAAATACGCTGGCATTTGCCGGAAGAATTCATTGAAAGACGGCGCCGTTTTGCCAAGTCAGTTGACTGACGCACACTTGATGCACTTCAAAGTTACGTCTGCATTCACCAGGTTCAAAATAACTTATTACTGCACACAAAAGGAGTTAGTCGAAATCGAGACAAGATTCACACATATTTGGTCTGAAGTGTTAGCTTTTTGGCGCGGTTGACAACCACCAATATTGCAACGTATTGCCCGCATCACTCTGACCACAATATTTCAAAAATATGCTCAAGTTTTACGAGACATGACGGCCTGACCGCGGCGGCCGTCTTTGTGGCGGTCCGAACTACCGTCGGTCCTCAGACTCCCCGCCGGCCGGCCGGCCGGACACGGGTCACCGCAACGCACTGACTTGTCACTGAAGGGACTGGGGCGGGACACCACGCCAGGGACCGTTCGGCCGACGGGGAGTCCGTCCCGACCCCGACCCCTTCCCGCGCTCCTCGGCGCTCACCACCTGGGATCGGATGTTGGCCAGGGGAGCTCGTCTGGATGACGCAGGCGCCCCTGAAAAGACACAGGGGCGTCGCAGTCATAGGTCACGCACGTCTGCAGGTCAAAGGTCTAACGCCAGCGGCGCTGTCAGCTGACGAGATTAGTGGAAACTCCGTGCCCAAACCACCTCCGTTTATCGGGTGCCGTTTTGAGGAAGTGATAGTGCCTTGTATCGGTGCCCAAAATGACGTAGTGTTTGGACGCTATCACGTGTGGGCGTGAACTAAAGGGTGTGATGTCTACTATGCTGACAAATCGTAAAAGGTCATTCAGTAAAGGTGAGCCAGGAACGTTGCGCAATACCGCGAACAGTTCACAAGATAAAGTAGAAATGAAGAAAGCGTGCATCTTGTTTCACCCGTCGGTAATACGTCTGCTGCCAAAACACTGATCTATATTATTATTCAAGCTAAAAGACGTACTATGCTACGATATATGGGCCTCTAGCCGTACGTGTTTGCGTACTGTGTTGGATGGGAAGAGACTGCTTAGCATCAGGTTGTTGTTTACCAACATCAACTAGTTACCCGTTGTTTGTAGCGTTGTTTGTAAGAAGTCATGCGTACCGTGCAGTTTAGCGTCAGTCGCGGGCAGGCCTTCAAAGGGACACGAAACGCGCCGACGCAGGCCGCGCTCCGTCATTGTACAGTTTAGGGGCATGCATTGCGTCTGGGGCCAGCGGTCGGCCGGAGAGAGTGGCGACGCGCCGGAGAGAGCGCGGAGGCGCGGCCGCCGCGCGGACAGCGAACGAGCACAGGCACGAGCTCCGAACAGTGGTTGAGCAGCGGCCTTAGAGCGGCCGGGACAGGTAAGCACGCAGACTGGGAGAGACAGGCGCGCGTGACAGCTTAACCTACTGGGTGCGGCACCGGGCCGTAGCCGGGCCCGCCCAGGTCCTTCCACTTGCGCAGGTCCAGACGCGGCAGTGCCGCGCACGGCGTGATGGGGTTGCTGGAAGGGCAGAAGCAGCTCTGTGACGGCACGCACGACCGGCGGGCAGGGAAAGCTGCCTCAAAAAGCGAGGCGGGCGCTCTCGTCAGGGAGTCACTTGAAGGGACGCGGCTGACAGCGTGTTTGTCAACGGCCACCAGTTTGACTGCACTAGAAAATGACACGGTTCGGTAGTGGCGGTTGGGATGTGCGACGCCTCAGAAGCGTGCCGTCCGAATACCGAACACGAAGTGGTAGAGAGTTTGCGTTTCATTAATGCAACTGTGAAAAGCAGGATTTTCCCCTTAAACTGCACTTTGAATCCGTTTCTAACTTTCTTCATTTGCCAGGATTTTCTAAGCAACGTTTTCTGCAGTTACAAGCCTCATACACGGCACGGACATAAACATGTGGCTCGAGGCCATCTTTTCATCTATAACCCTTCTTGATAAGTCTTAAAGGCCGAACAGGTTTGCTTGTAAATTTATCCTTTGTTATCACAAATTTGCCGTTCTTAGATACAAGAGACGGCCAATAGTTTTACGTCAACAATACGATAACTCCAGACATCGGCCGTAAGCATTTATTCCACTTAAATCTTACAGGAGCAGGGGCGGCGTCACGGGTTTGGAGTTGGAACAGGATTTTCGAGGGTCCCTCGGGGAAGGATCGTCTTGGGCAGCGACAGGTGGTTGGGGCACCGAGGCTACGTGACCCCTTATGAAATTGTTACGTGTGCCAACATCTAGTGCAGTTGAACGCCGACCATAAAACATCCGGATTAGAGACTAACAAACTAATACAGGGGTCTTTGAAATGAAGTAAATGACTCACTATTACACAGAGGGCCTCCTTATCCAGACCAGGCGCTTGCGATTCACCAGTGGTCTCCAAATTTGGGAAAGGGTCTCATTATATCAAAACAAGACATCCTGATCCGGAACTAGAGCGATCGGATAGATGAAAGTGGCTTCCTTTTCCAAGACAGCGGCCTTCTAGTGTTTAACGTGGCCTTCGGGTCAGGAAAAGGACTCCCTAGCACAAATTAGGGCCTCTTAAGCTAGAGTATGAGCTATCAAATTCATGAAAGCGTTCTCATGATTCAGAAAATGTAGTTCTTCATACAGCGAAGTGTCTGCTGAGTATTACTGAGTTGCGTCTAGTTCAGTTATGAGCCCGTCCTTGACCTGAATTGCATGTAACTTATGTGAAGCTACAAAGCCTTTAATTTGGGCGGAAGGGCCTCCCAAAACTTTAAGGGGGTAAATCATACTCTTGCCCCACTGCCAGCGGAGGGAAAACTTCCCCTCTGCCCCCCCCCCCCCTCCCCTCCAGGCCTTTGCTACGCCAAGCGTGTATAGAACGGCATCAGCTGCCAAGCAGCCAGGGCTCATTTTTGTGTAACAAGTGCCTCCTATTTTTACGCAGCCGATGATGTTGCGGATGATCTTATTCACAAAAGATAACAAACAGGACGACAAAATAAACGATGCCACCGCTATGCGAAACGGCGCATGCGTAGCTTCGCAGATGCACAGAAAGAGATAGTTGTAATATAAACTCGACACAACTTCAAATAAATACGTATTTGGAACCACAGAGCGCTCGGCTCTCGGACGACATGCTTTATGTTTATATATACATGTATGTACATTTTGGCCCCTTGCAACGAGCCGCGGTGGACGCCAGAGACTGGCGCGACAGCTGTCGGGGGGGGGGGGGGGAGGGGGGCACCACACACGTAACTCCCAGTACGGAGAGTTCAGCACATTCCAGCCTCAGCATGCAGATGCTGAGCGTCATGAACTTAAAGCACGAGTGGCACGTACGATTTAATGTCCTCAAAAAATTGTCTTTTGGCTCTTTTTGTCGACACTTTCATGAACCGATCGTCTCATTTGAGAATACCAAAAGAGTTATGTATTGTGCCTCAAAGAGGTGCCAAACTTCAGCCATGCTCGTTTGATTACACGAGAGCAAAAGAAGCGGTACTCACATTTCGTGGTCGGGCAGAACCATCTGGTAGATCTGAACCTTGTCAATCTGGTCGGAGTTGTCGCAGATCAAGTTGCTCAGCTTGACTTTGCGGATCTCATCGATTTGCTCTGCAGGTTGCAGAGAAACAAGTTAATCAATGTGCATCTCCAACAACCACTCGTCCGACGGTTGAATCGGTCACTAGAACCATGGCATTGAGACGAACAAGATTGGAACATGAGAACACCGGAGACACCGCACCAGTTCCTCAACGCTGCAACGGCTCTGCGACGATTCCCAAAGCGCTGACGGCTACTCATTCACCTGGCCCCTCTCCCAAGCCGGAGTGACCGTGACGCGCCCCGCGTCACACCCCGGCACCAATGCACGCGCCGCACCAGATGTCCAAGCCCTCCTCACCGTGTGTGAACGAGCTGGGGTAGCCCTGGTTCTCGAACCAGAATCGGTCGCCGTACTTGAGCACGCGGAACTGCTCGGCGATGACGCAGGCCAGCGTGGGCCCGACCATGGAGCCTGGCAGCGGCTTCTCGGAGAGGCCGCCCGACCACAGGTCGATGTCGTCCGGATGTCTGGCGGCGAGCCGGTCCGTCAGCCCCGGTCAGAGACGCGATGGGAGCGGGGCAATGTGTCCCGGTCAGAGGCGCCGCGGTTGCGGGATAATGCGTCCCGGTCAGAGACGCCGCGGGAGCGGGACAATGTGTCCCGGTCAGAGACGCCGCGGGAGCGGGACACTGTGTCCCGATCAGAGACGCCGCGGGAACGGGACAACGAGTCCTGGTCAGGGACGCAACGGCAGCAAGACAATATGTCCCGATCAGAAACCCGGCGAGAGCGCGACAACATGTCCAGATCAGAGACACGGCGGGAACGCGACCGTCAATGCCGACAGACTTGCAGCACGAGTTTGCATTGGCAGAGATACTTCACCATTACTCAGTTAGGGAGATTTGCCAGTCGCGTTGTAGGCGGACGGGGTGTGGGAGAACGAGCTCATTCAGTCAGTGAGACACATTCAAAGTGATCTGACAGTGACGAACGACGGGCTCGGCAAGGTCGAGCAATGACAGGTCGAGGTCGCGCGCTGTGTCGCGGGAACGGAGCTTTTTTAGAACGCCATGTAGGTCAATGGCGAGCATCAGTCACGACCCGAGCGGACTCGTGCTGCGCCGGCCCTGGGCCTCGTCTTTTACCCGAACTGATAATCAGTGTTAGGTAACGGCACGCAAGCACATCATAACGCGCTATTTTACAGCAAACCGCAACGCAAGGAGGAGGGAACGTAAGTTGCCGTTGGAGTTACAACTGTCACCGAGCCATCGGCACTGTCCAATATCACTGAATAATACGTGCATGTGGCATTGCTCCCCGGTGGATCACAATACTGATGAGTGACTGCGGTCCCAACTGGACGTGTCCGCGCCACTCTGAGCACACCCGGACGTGGCGTTTGGCCAACGAGAAGCAGTTGCTACACTGCTGTAGTGGCTGGACACGAAATCAGTGTGAGTCACGATGACAGCTCTGCCGTCGCCTACCCCGCCGCGCCGAGCCGGGAGCCGGGCGGTGACGACACGTTTCCGTCGAGTGGTCGGGTCCGTAGCACTTTAAAGGACGGACTGCGGCGTGGCGCCTTGCCGACATCACCTCCGCGGCAGGTTTCACCTCACAAACGTGCGGAATCTGATTCAGCTAACCCCAAACAGTGGAATGAAAGCTCAGCGTTTATCCGCTCCCCTGAGGCGATGGGGTCCGCAAACAGCGTTGTGCAACTGCACAGCCCTCGCTGCCCGTCTCCATCTGGTATTGTAAACAGCGTCGTCACTGACAGCGCTGCACTGCCATAATGCGCATCTCATGGCTCTCACCGCATTAGTTTGATTTGTCTTTGGCAGGCCCTGTGACTGAAAATGCAAATATGTGCCTGTCAGCTGTAAATGATCACGAATTATCGCGAATTGCTCACGTTGTTTCATCACGTGCAACACCACACATCGTCGCTCGTAGCACTGCAACTGCAAGCAGCGTATGAAAGACAGGCGTAAGATGCACGCCGGAAAAGGAAATGCCCCTCTCACGAAACGAACCGTAGCGCTCCGAAGCACCACACCTGGAATACTATCGCTCCATGCACCCACCTGTAGACGTTGCCGTAGCTGGAGGCGGTGGAGTTGGACATGATGCTGTTGAGCTCGTAGAAGTCCCTGACGCGCGGCAGGCCGCAGTACTCGCGGTAGTCGTTATATCCCGGGATGCCGTGCTCGCGGCCGCGCTGCATGTTGATGGCGGCCAGGTCCATGCCGAAGCGGTGCTCGGGCATTTGGAACAGGTGGTTGGTGACCTGCGGCGGCCGAAGACCTGCGGTCAGCGCCCCGCGAGCCGGTGTGGCAGGCTGCGGCACACCCGCTCACCGGCTCCACGCTTGGAATCACTTCACACGCTGTGCTTGTTTCGCATTAGGCGTGTGTGGAAAATACCGGCTATCACTGCTGAATTATCCGATAACGTACACGACGTTCGTGCGAGCGTCACTCGTGAACATGTCAGACATCAAACACCAGCATGTGTAAATGTGGTGCCGTCGTTCTTGGGAGCGGGCGCCTTCAAACGCAGCAGGCGCACGCGGAGTCCGACGCGCTCGAATCTCGAGTGCTGTCCGAATGGGACACCCACCTCCTGACTGACGGCGTCGTCCATGGCTTGCGCCACCTGGTTCATCAGGCCCATGGTGTACTGGTCGCAGAAGCCGCCCTTATACATATCGTACGGCTGACGAAGCTGCTTGCTCAGGCGGCTGGAGTCTGGCGGCGCGGAGCACGGGTCAGGGAGGAGTCATGCGGGCAGATGCCGAATAAGACTTGAAAGGCAAAGCAGCCGTGCGAACGCTAAGAGTGAGCGGAGCTAAGGGAGCAACACAGTTTAGCCTTCAGCAGACGCTTAATCTAATTCACCGTACATAGATTGTGGTGTTGGATCGGAGAATGGCATGTGTCAACTTTGACGTGATGCCATCCGAATGAAGACGGCGGCGAGCGTGCAACGCTGCCAGCTTCATTCACCGCGCAGGCCCTGCGCATCGCCATTGTTTGATTGCCCCGGACCAGTTTTTGCGCCCCTGCGGCTCCACGCAGCGGGCGCGGACGCCCGGAAGCTCGCCGGTGACAGCAGCCGGCCGCGTCGAGTGGCAAAAAGGCGACGTGTCAGCGCGCGGTAAAAGCGCCGACGACGGCGGTCTGCCCCACGGGGCGTTTCCAAACCGCGGCCGCCGCTTGCGTCCGGTCGCCGCCCGGCGGGGGTGGGGACCGGCCGGCGGCCACCCGTCGCCGAGACGGGCCGAGCGTGGCTGCGCCGTGATCGCGCCGTGCGCCACTTTCGTGGCCGAGGATTTCCCGGCGACGGCGCCGAATCAGCACTATCACCGGGAGGCGGCGGCGGCGGCGCAGTTTGCATGGCCCGCTTGCATCAGTGGCAGGGTGATGGCGCAGTTTGGACAGACGGGACCCGGTGACCGGCCGCCCTTGGTGAAGGCTAGGACGGTCGGCAGATGACTAAACGTCCCCACAGCGCGCTCGCTTCAGCGGCCAGTGCAGGCAGCACCCCACAGACGGCTTCACTACGCCAGCGTCTCAGATCCCCCCCCCCCCTCCCCCCGCCACCCCAGCGTTTCGACGGCGAGCCCGCCCCGGCCTTGGCGGGAATCGACTCGCCGAATCGGTCCCGGCGGAGACAACGCCAGCCGGCGGGCCGACCCATGGCGCCGAGCAGCTGGTCGGCTCGGCGGCGACGACTCACCGATGTACTTCCCGGTGATGGACCAGCGCTCGATGCTGTGCGGCAGCATGGAGTGGCCGAAGCGGAAGGCGGCGGAGCTGAACGAGTTCGACGTGGAAGCGTCCACGGTCGGATCGTACTTGTGGTTGTAGCCACGCTGCAGGACAAACGTGGCCGTCATGCCAGGATGCACAAAACAAGCGAAAAAACGTACATGAGGTACCTGATGCTCTATTTAGGCACAGCAATCATTTATATTGCTGGCTGTCAAAGCCTTGCGAACGTCAGTTGGGCAAGGGTAAGTGAAAGACGTGAAGCGTTTCTGTTTTTCTTCAATTGACAGCATAAATAGCAACGGACATAGAGGGAGGCTGAGCCGCCAAATTGAGCGTCATTTTCGTTTGTCGGCGTCAGGGCCCATAACCCGGGATAACACGCTATTCCAGACCGCACAGAAGCCGTGTGTCATGCTGATCAAGCATTTCTGAGCGTTATCGAACAGTCGGATGTATATTATGATCAATTTGCTGGTCGTTTCCACTCATACCGTCACACCGGAACAAACCAATGCGATAAGATTCGTTCCGGAAGTGTATGGCGTTACACAACGCCAAAGCTGCGCAATAAACCAGTTTATTATCGACTTGGCTACGAGGTAGCGAAGGTCGCATGTAAGCTCTCGAAGGCCGCTTTCGGTTTCATAAGATCAGTGTTATCTGGCATCCATACTTTATAGGACGGCACCACGCAGTCACTAAAGCCGAATACGCAGCCAATGCGTTGGCACATTCATATACGAGACCAGAATAGATCCGCGCGTGCTGCGTCCTTGACAAAAGAACAACGCGTTGCAAAGGCATTTTCCTACCGTCAGTTACCATGAGTCTGTCGTAGTTTGCCTATGAATGCCTGCACGGTGTACGTATTCCAGGCTGCTGTGCGCTCGCGTGCCATCCGCCGGTCTCGACACCTCCTGTATGCACGACTGGAGCCTCGGATGCCCATAACGGCCGCCGGGCCGCCGGCGCTCGCGTTGTGCAAGGCGACGCCGCGCCATGCGGCCACGGACACTTCCGCGCGCGCCGCTCATTTGGTTGAAAGGATCGCCGCCGGTGAACAGTCGTGGCTGCAGCCGTTGCGCCACCGAGTCGGATGAATAGGCGCGAAAGAGGTGGTGCCAGGGCCCATAACGGCGCTCGGCCGCGGATAAAGAGCGGCGTGTCGTCCGCGATACGAGCCAAGCTTTCGGAGCGGCGAACGGCGCCCCTTTGAAGCTCATTACCGAGCAAAGAGTTCGGCGTCGCTCAGTGACGCAATGGGCGCTCAGCGACACGCCAGCATACACCCCGAGCAATGGGTGCTCAGCGACACGCCGGCCCACCTCCCGGGTGACGCTGCGTCCGATACACCGCGGCTCATCTAGACCTGTTGATGCAACGCCCTTGTGCGTGACGCGGCGGTGGGTAAGCTGAGGTGCCTGCCGGGGAATGGAGTCATGCTCGGGACATAACTCGGCCGTAAAGACTCGGCCGGCCGGCGGCGTGCGGGCGGGGGTTACCCGGCCGGAGCGGACGCCGCCGGACTGGTGCGCCCGCGCTAGCTGCCCTGGGGCCCGGACACGAGCGCCCGATCGAACGCGGCGCCGGAATGGCAGGGACACGACGTCCGACGCGCGCCACGACCGAGGCAGAACGGCCAGCGGTTGGACGCGTGGGTTAGTGACGTTTTGCTGAGGCAGGGCGGCCAGCGCGGCGGGTAGGCGTCCTACCACCGTCTTCGTTGAGTCACAGCGGCGAGTGCGGTCGGACCTCGTCGTCTTACGTACCTTCTCTAGCACCATGGCGTTCTTGGTCATGACCTCTTTGCCGAGCACCATCGGCAGGAATTCGTTGTACGTGATCTGCTGCACCAGCGCTCCAATGATCAGACGAGTCTCCTGAGAACGGAAAGCGCACAGCCCTTTAGTGCTCAAACTCATGGAGGCATGCGAGTAGCCGACAGGAGCTGCGTTGTAGCCTGAATGTATAAGCAAATACGGAGACAAAACACAGTCTAACGCCATTAATGAGAAGACGCGTCCACCCAATATAGGCGTTTATGGCCAATGCTTTTGGAAATGACATCCAACACAACAGTTTTAGTACTAAATGTATACCACCGCCTGCAGTAGCTCTAAGATTCCTGGTAGATAAGACGTTTCAGAGCGGTGGGACCGTGCTCCCAGTGAAAGAGCCTCCCATCGTCAGAGAGCGTACCCGCACTCGGCCCGTACCTGGTAAATGGTCTCGTCGTCCCAGTGGGGGTTGATGTGGCCCAGCTCGTAGGCGATGCGGTTGTGTTCGCGAACGAACATGGTCTGGATGATGGCCAGCACCAGCTGCTCGTTCACACGGCCATCGCCTAAGGAGCACCAGGTCAGGTGACGTCACCAGTGGTGCGTTTGGAAAACCTTTGGCGGCGCATGTTTCTTTGAATTGTTCGAGTCAGATCAGATGCATGACCACCAAGTCCTATCACGTTTGGGATATGAGTGTGCATACTACCCAGCATATTCAAGCGCTTAGACGGCTTTATAGTGTTTAAGACCGTTTCCATGATTTCCTCAGACTTCTAACCGCAGGTGATGGCTTGCAGCATTGTGCTGACATAACAGATACAGATAACTGCCACAGTCCCCCAACATTCAACCACGTGTGCGACGAATGAGCACCTCTTTCCTCGGAAAGCACGGGTGAACAAACGTTCCTCGAGGAAACATAATACAGCCTCGCCTTTTACGTTGCGAAACACGAAAAACAGCAAAAGCTTGATGACCACGCCCTACATCGCAAGGTGACCCTCCAACGGTTCGTCCGACTAAACCGCGAAAACATTTCAGAAGGCGAGCCGCCGAGCGACGGGCAGAGCTCTGAGGACTGGCAGGGTGCTCACCGGCGTCGAAGCAGTAGATGTCCTTGGAGGGCCGGATGCAGCCCTCGTCGGGCGCGTGCAGGTTGGGCGGCAGCAGGTCCTTGAGGCCGAACTCACGGAATACGGGCAGCGTCTTGAGCAGGCCGCCCTGGTACGCGCGCATGCGCCGGGCCGTCTTCTCGTCGGAGCCGTACACGAACGACGCGTCCAGGTACGAGGTGACCGTATTGATAGGGTCGCGGGGGCCTGCCGGAGACAGCGGGGCCTCAGGCTAGGGCCTCGGGCGGGTCCTCGGATGGGTCCTCGGGCTCAGGACTTGGCGGGTAGGACGCGGCTATCTGGCGGGCCTAGGCAGTGCAAGAGGCGACGAATGAACGCCTGACAGATGTGCTGTGGAATAGGCCCGGGCGTGTGTGGCAACCGATTCTCGAGCGTTGCGCTGCTGGCGGGAGATGGGTGTGGTGAAACAGTGACAGGCTGAATGGGCTTCGATCGCCATGTTGGAGCAAAACAATGTCTCATTTACATGGATGTAGTTACAAGGAGAATAAAAAATGAGGTCACACGAAGGAAGAATTTCAAGCGAGCCATACGACGATGGAAATGAGACTTAGGCTTGACCACTACTCACTTGACTTTGTTTTGCATGTATAACAAATATAATGCGAGAGGATATCTCAGGATGGGGCATATAGACGCGATCAAGTGAGTAGGTGTAAAGAAGCTGATTTCTTCTACGAGAAACCGCTTCTACAGCAAAATCGGCACAGGCAAAAATCTGGCATAGGTCCCGGTAATTTTGACCCTTTTGTTGCGCTCAATTAGTTACCATCTTGAAATAGTGCGATCATTTGACATTGAAGAGAAATGAGCCGGCTATATGCATGCTTTCTCGTGGATGTTCTTTGGAGATTGAAAAGACTATCTTAAGACCGAACGTATGTTAATTCCAATTATGCTGTATGGTTGGAAATAACATACGTTCGGTCTTCGCTGTTTAAGGCAACAGTGGACATACTCCATACCACACTGCAAAAAAGTGTGTGTGTGTGTGTGTGTGTGTGTGTGTGTGTGTGTGTGTGTGTGTGTGTGTGTGTGTGTGTGTGTGTGTGTGTGTGTGTGTGTGTGTGTGTGTGTGTGTGTGTGTGTGTGTGTGTGTGTGTGTGTGTGTGTGTGTGTGTGTGTGTGTGTGTGTGTGTGTGTGTGTGTGTGTGTGTGTGTGTGTGTGTGTGTGTGTGTGTGTGTGTGTGTGTGTGTGTGTGTGTGGTGTGTGTGTGTGCGTGTGTGTGTGTGTGTGTGTGTGTGCGTGTGTGTGTGTGTGTGCGTGTGTGAGCGGCTTGTCGCGACATCCGTCGTACCCGAACCGTTTACGTTTGATTGAGTTTGACGGATCTGATTTGGCAGATCCAGCGACGGAGATAATTGCTGGGAAAAAAAGTGACCAGCATTCCATTCAGACTGCGTAACCAGCGTTCCCACATCACACATTTCTGACTTCTCGACATGCCTGATGAATTGCAAACCAAGGTGAACATGCATCAAGATAAGTAGCTGGAATGTTGTTGATTCTGGTACTGTTATTCGTTAAATGATCCCCACTTACAATACAAGAGGTCAACAAAGGAGCGAGCAGGCACACAGTCTTCAGTTTGCCACACGAATGGTACAACAAGTAAGGTTACATCACGTGACACTATCAGACTGCCATCGAGCTTTAAATGCGAGGAAACCAGTCAGCAGCTGTCGGCTCTTTTTTGGCCTTATTTCTATCACGTGAGTATAGGCAATTTAACCAACCTCAAATTCATTTTAGGCGTGCTAAAGAGTGACAACCGAGTTACAAAAAAATGAGTTCTAAAGGTTGTATATATATATATATATATATATATATTTGTTATCACATTGCTGGTGGTCGCGTCTGTCACCGAGCACGTTTGCATTAGGCACTGAAACCTTGCAAAACAGGTGTGGAAAAGCAAGACAAGGAAAACACGTTAAAGCCGCCGGGGACATGGGATAATCCATGACTTGCACAGCAGATGCACTGATGCACTGATAGCCATTCTAAACTTGTTTATATGAGCCATTTTCACAAAGACTCATTGTGCAAACTTTTTTATCTTAAAACGTTTCGTACAATCATGTGTAGGGGTTGTTGTTCCAAGGGAGCTACCTCTCTTTGTCAAATTTCCAATAGACGTAGAAAAAACATGGTTGGAAAACAGGAGAGAAAGCAATGCACAGATTTCCTTCTATGATTTACTAAATCGATAGGGAGAAAGTAATAGCCGTTCCGTAGCCAGGCACCGACTGAGACGTTTTGATGCGCTGGACCGCCGGAGATGGGTTGAATTGCTCCACCTGTGTATGGACTATCAAGGAAAGAAGGAAAGCGCGGTCAGCTTGGCCTCACGCCTGGTGTTTCAGGGATAAGGTTATTCCAGCAGAGCCTAACGCATCAGGAGGTCCGGAGTTCATCTGATAAGGATCAGAAATTCCAGCCAATGACAGGCCTGTCAATCCGGTCCCATCCTCCGCCACCGGCCGGCCGTTTTTCCCGTGTGTCGAACTGGGTCGAGCCCCAGATCTGACCCGAGATAACGCTGAATCTGACGGCCGCCTCTTGTGCAAGCCCGAGAGGCGCAAGGTCGCGCCGGCGGCCGTCGCCGACAGACGCGCCGGGCTTTCAGGTCAGGCGGGGTTCATCCGAACTGACCGACTCTGGTCTCAGTCGGTCGTACACGCTCTGCTCGCTGTGGGTAACACGGCAACGGGCAGACCAGGCTAACCGCCGACAACAGACGACTCACGACCCGACGTAACTCCGCCGCGTGATCCCGGATCGATGAACTGCCCCGGTCGCCGTGTAAAAGTGGTAGCCATAGTCGAAGTGGTGTTCTAATTTCTGATGTTGCGTTACAGCGGGCCCGGCGGGCCACGTGACTTTCTCATGCATTCAATCTTAGCTGATTGGGTACACTGCAATTAGACGGGTTGTGTCGACGGTTGCGCCACATCATCTGAATTTCATGCGGCGCGTTCTTGTTTTCGAGACGACGGTGTGGGTACGGCACGGCTGGCACCGGTCCAAGGCCCCGCCCGATCACAACATGCTGGCGGGCGGTGGCCACCATAATAAGCCTTAGAGGTCAGGCCCGGCCAGGGCCCCGGACGCCGCGGCGTCATCCGAGGACCTGGGTTCGGAGGTCAGGGCTGAGCAGGGCTCCTAATGCTGTGACGTCATCCGGGGACCGGGTCTCAGGGGTCGGGGCTGGGCAGGAGGCCCCGGAAGCTACTTTTAAGTCAAAAACTACTTGCACTAAAAAATACTCAAAACCCAGCAGCAGTCAAAACGCTGCCTCACAACTCTCTTCATAACACCATCACCCAAAGCCATTGGAGGGCCTCTCCAGCAGGCGCCGTCCGCGCCGGACTCACCGAGCTTGCACTTGTGGTGCACGCCGGGCAGCGAGCGGATGACGTTCATGCACTTCTGGCTGTAGAGGCCGTAGAACTCGTCGTCGGCCGGGATCTCGATCGGGAAGCACTGCGGGTTGTCGGCGTGGCGCGGGTCGTTGCAGCAGTCGGGCATCTTGGGCCGGCCGTTGCGGTCTGTCGGTGACGTCGCAGCGTTACGGGCGCCACCAGCCGGCTTCACGCAAGTGCGCGCGGACTGTAGCGCGTGCACACATGCCGCGTCCGCGCCATCACGCCCCAAGAACAGTGCGGTGAGCAGGCGACTGTGTGAGGTCGGCTCGCCTGCCAGGGAAGGCCAGCCACTACGGCCTCGTCGGGCCACGCCACCGTCGTGTGGGATTGGTGCCACAAGCTGTCCGGGTTGGACGACAACGGCCTATGGGACACACCGACAGCGGCAGGCGGGTAAACGATCGGCGCTCACGTGCATTCACGTTGGACAGGACAAGCGCACCCAGTCAATCACGCTGCGCACAAGAGTTGGCTGTACAGAAGTAACGTGACTGTACTCGCCGCAAGTCTTTGAGTCGCTTACCTACCGAAGAAGTACTATTCACCTTACCTTCCAAAGAAGTACAGATCACCTTACCTACCAAAGAAGTACAGATCGCGTAGGGAGCGAATAAAGGGAAGCAGGCTTACGTATGAGTGTATGCACATCATTTGCCGTCGTTAGCGCATAATGTCACACCTAGAGACATCATGCCCGTTATGTGAACATACATATGCATGAATGTGCCGTAGATATTCGGCGTGATCAGGCACGTCAGGAATACTACGTGATTCATGAAAAAGCGGCGTTTTATGCAGCCTTCACGATATTACCGCCATTATGCTGCAGGACTGAAGGCTTTACGTGTTGCTTCATGTGCTTACGAGGTCGCGGCCGTTTATATATGATTGTTCATTACGCTTCTTAGAATAGAACTAACTGCACTACTTCCTCGTACGTCGACCTCGCACTTTTTACATTTCATCTTTATTTAGTTGTTTTATAGTTTGTTGTAGCACTCATTTTCCATTGCCTGAATATTATCACTCGACCTATTTCAATGTGTTCCTTCTTCACTCTCACCCAGCTCTCCAACTTCTAGCTCCGAATCGGCATCCAAGTTAACAGGATCTCCACAGCCACTCGCCACGCGGCCCGACAGGAAACCGCCAGCAGCTCGGACGCCGGGTGAAGGCAGACGCTTCTCTGTGCGCCTCGGTGCAAGAGCGGCGCTCCAGCAAACGGTCTGCCGTTTTACCATGCCAACGCAAAATAGCGTGTTTAGAAAGACATTAACGGGCAAGGGAGAACGCACCTCGGCTAATTCAGCTGACCGGTCTCAGCCATCTGGAATCCAATGATTGATTGGTTCGGCGCACAAAGCGTCACGACTCATGACCTATCTGCGTTCTTTTCCTAATGAATACGCCACCTCACTTGTTCTTATCAGTCATAACGGTAGTTGCCAAACAGCCGTCGAATATTCCTGGTGAGGTCTAGACGCAACGGTCTCATTTGCGGACATAACCCTATTTGTCAGAAAAAGCTGTGAAAATTTCAATTCACGCCTAATATTTTCAATTAGACAACAGAACACAGGCAATCTTACGAAGGTTACGTGAAATCCCGGCATCACATGGCACACTTGGTTAGAAATGAATAGATATATGAATACAGATATCACCAGTGCATATAAGTATAAGGATACCCCAGAAGATAATGCATGGGCAGCTGCGTGTTGGATGTTGTGAGGCACATGCTTCACATAGACGTGTGATTTAATGTTACGTTGTCGGAGAAATCTGCCCTGCCCACGGTTGTAATCAGCCGTACGATGTCCTTAATGCGGGCTTTAGGGCGTCACCAGCTCACATGCATTACAGCCCCACCTACGGCAGCTTCTATTTTAAACGCCGATGTCACGCCCAGCTTAACGGCCTCGAGACCACAGCGGCGTCGTCACCAAGACCCACGCACGCCTCAGCATGACAAAGCCAGCACCCCTGTCAGTCAGACATGCAGAACCCAGTCAACATCCGCACCAGCCAGATACCGTTCACGCGCCAGCACGACGTCGAGGCGTGACCCAGCCAGCACCCACACCCGGACATCTGACACCCCCATGACACTCGCGGTCGGGTCGCAATGCCACGGCTGCCTGAGCTCCTTCCACCGCCGTTCCCAGCCGCTATGGGTCGGCAGCGGAGGGCTGGCAGTTCCCATCGGGGGGCCCCGGTGGTAACTGCAAGCCAACGCCGGCAAGGCGGGTCAAGGAGGCTCGGCTGGGATGCGGCGGCCGGGGATGTGAGAGGCCCGCCGCCGGTCGCGAAGACTCCCGCAGTCCGAGCGCGATGCTCTGACGGGGCGACGTCACAGACGCGCGACAAAAAGCGCCTCCGTTACATCGAGCGCGACGGTCTAAAAACTGGCCGGCGGGTCAGCCTTTTACCGGCCGTGCTAGACCGGCGGCCGTCGCCGACCTTGTCGCCCGGGCATCGAAAGTGAAAGCCCTGCAGTGCGGGGCTGCCGGTCGATGCTGGAGCAGATAGCGCGTCGTCCCGCGCGACGGCGGCGCAGCGTGCCGTCTCGGTGCACGACGTTACAAGCGGCCAGACCCGGCGGTCCGCTCGCCGTGCGACCCGACCCCCGATCTCCGCGCCCACCCGCCTAAAACCGGACAGCACCGCCGCCGATGCTCCGGCCGATCGCGGCTCTGACGGCGTTTTGTTTGGACACGGCCCATCACGCGGTGTCATGATTGCGCAGGCTCCGAGCCCGAGAAGCCGCCTTTGAGGCGTAAACTCGAACAGCGCAACCGGCGAGTGTTATGCCTGACGACACGGACAATGACGTTCTGCCTGACGGAGCGGGCATCGGCGCACTGTCTGGCGCCATGGTGTCACCAGGACCTGCGAGGCCGATAGCGTCTCGCGCGCTCTTTTCTTGGTCTAGAAAGGCGCGTGACTGACATTGGACTTTGTAAGTTCATTTCGCAATTCCACACTCCCTACGAACGCCTCCAACGATAGAGCTATCACAGACCGTTATTGAGCACAGTTATTCCTACATCATTTATGTATTCAGGGAGCGTTTTTCCCGAATGGATTACTTTTTAAACGACCTTGTTATCCTTTCGTTCAGCTCGGGTAGACTAACTCCCGCCCAAACACCCACATTTTACCACATCACCACGCACACAATTAGCCGCACGTGGGCGCACGCCACGCGGGCTTCGGTTTTACACAGCGGCGCTGTAACTAACTGGCTGTGCGTGCCGGTGAAATAGGCGTGCGTAAGCGACCGGAGCGGCCCGCGTAAACGGCCAAACAAGCCCGGCGCGCGCAAACGGCCAAGCACGCGCGTATTTACAGTGCACCGATGGCGGGCGGTTCAAACAATCGGGTAATGGCCACCTGCGCGGAGAGCCTGTGGCGATCACGCGAGTCGGCCGCGCACCTGCCAGGACCGGGCCGGAGCGCTCGCGATCCGCGCGGGAGGGGCAGCGGCCAGCCACACTGGACCACTGACCAGCCGAGCGCAGCCTGACCGGCCGGGCAGGGGCAGACTGACCGAGACAGGGATTTATCGGGGTCGGATCGCTGATCCAGTTGTGACGTGAGGCAACAGGGCGATAGCGAACCGAGGCCGAACGACCGGGGCCGTGTTCCGGCTGGAGGGCGAGAGTTCAGTGTCTGGTCTTGCAGGACCGACGCTTTCGACCGAGACACACCCTCTCTGAGGTTACTGTGCCGCAGTGGGGCCACATACCAGAGTCTGTTGAAATACCCTGGATATGCCGATCGAAATCGGCGCTCATGGCGAGGCCCAGCCCCGCGCTTAGCTTTTCCACCCCGGATTCAATCAGTATTTGGCAACGCCCTTAAATGCGATACGATCGAGGTTTTCGGCAGGTATTGTGTTCATATATGGCCGTATTTTCGACGAGCCGTTACCTTAACCAGCATTTGTTGCTAAACGGAAGGAAAACGGTGCACGTTGTGGATTTCTAATCTCAACAATTCATCATCATCAGCGTCCATGGCATGGCGCGTCTTTGACACCACGGCGCGGGGCACGCCTGAGGTTGTGCCGTTTACGGTTAGCGGAGTGGCCTGCCTAGACCTTTCCTTGCCCCTGGCGCTGCGGGGACGACGCCGAGGGAGCAGCCGCACGTCCCGGCCAAGGCCGATTAAGGCGCCGCCACCCGGGTCACGGAGCGCAATGTGCCGGCCGCTGCCAGCGCCACCCAGGGGTCAGCGGGGGCGACCGGGCGGAGCCCCTGAGCCAGCCGGCCGCGGCGAGCCGCCCGGCCAGCTGTGCTGACGGCGAGGCGCCGCTGCCCGCACCACTGACCTTTCTCCTCGGGCTTCATCTCGCCGGTGAAGGTGATGTCGTGATCGATCACCTGTCCCCAGGCCACCAGCATCATGGTGACGGCGTGGTCGTGCTGGCCCAGGTCCTTGTGCAGGAAGGCGGACACGCGGCGCGGGCTCGGCAGGGGGTAGCCCTCGGCGCCCACACGCGGGGCGTTCACACCTGTGGACGAACGGGTTGGCCGGTCATCACACACCGCGCTGGTAAGTGGACAAAATGTGGACACGCAGCGGGGACCCTGTGGGGAACTGGTCCCGGAGTCTGGCGTCGCTGCAATCGGTCGTCTAGGGCGGGCGCTATTTCAGGGGCTTGTAAGAAAACTCAAAGACCCGGAGTTCTGCAGTTGGACTGGTGCGGAAGTGATGTGTTCTAAAGAAGGGCGGGATCACTGACACAACGCCGATGGATGGGCTCACACGCAGGGAGGTTAGCTAACAAGTCTCCAGTCTTGTTTTGCAACTTCTTAATTATCCGGCGTGAATCAGCACCTATTGTGAACGCTCATTTTCCGCGTTTAGGCAAAGCGTTATCCACGCCACAAATCCATGATATGTAAGTAGGACCAAAAAAAGCTGCGCAAAAAGGCTAAATCCGTGCCGAGAAAGAGCGTGGTACCCGCACATATATCGCATATTACATTTAATAGAGATAGGTATAAGATGCTGCACATAATAGGCATAGGCACCAGATACTGCACATAATAGACGTATATATCATGTGCAGCGCATAACTGACATAAGTATCAGATGCTGCTCGTGATAGCGACGAGAACGGCATCGCTTCTTCCGGGCGCGGTCAGCACGTCCCGGTGGCAGACACTGTCAGCGGCCGACAGGACGCCCCGAGCCGGACTGCCACCAGCCGGACTGCCACCAGCCGGTGACGGCCGACCGCGGTACTCCCGCGGTTCCCCCGCTTCTCACCGTCAGCGTAGTCGGGCGCCAGCAGCCGGCGGAAGGTGTTGCGCGCCGCGCCCCAGTGCGGGAACTCGAGGTTGTTGCACATGCCGTCGACGGTGCGGTAGCGCGTGACCTCGCACTGGTCGTAGCCGTTGAGGAAGATCGGGCAGAAGGAGCCGATCAGCGTCTTGGTCGTGTCGATGAGCGGCAGGCCCGAGGCGATGGCGTCCCGCGGCAGGTCGTACCTGTTGGCCGCATATGGTGGTGCTGAGATGGCGATGCGCCGCCGCAGGAGAGCTCCATACGGGGAAGGGGTGGGGTGGGGAGGGGGACGCGCCAGCCTGCTACCGGTGGGAGCTGGCTGCACGAGCGCCGTGGTGTGGGTCTGTGGTCGAGGGCGGCTTAAGAAGGTTGTTTCGTTGCCAGGGATCGCACTTTTCACGGCGCTGCCGCGATGCCGCGTAGGTCAGCTCGGTTTCAGCGAGTGTCAAATATCTCACGATGCCAGGCCCATCGACATCGCCGAGAAGCGTGATTTTCAGTGGCGTGGGTTGTTACTGGTGTTGGAAGATGTAGAGCGCCAGCCGCAAATTTTTACAATTTTGAACGTAAGCCGGTTTGTGTCCGAATCATGCCATACGTCATAGTGCGCCGTGAGTGCCGCCTCAATCCGCTGAGCTCGTTTTCTAATCGACTTGTAACGCACATTCCGAGGCCGTCTTGGTCATGCATAGCATGACGGAAAACGAGATGACATTCTTGGGAGATTACGTCGAATATCTAACGCTATTTTTGAACGTCCTGCAAGGTTCCCACCCGTCTTGAGAACAGCCAATGACAATGAAGTAGTTTTACCGCAGACTGTTAATACGTCAGCGGTCAGGCACCTGCAAGCTACGTCGGAACGTTACTGCAGAACGTTCTGATCGAATATGCCATCAGATTACGTCCTCCGTAACGACAGAGTCGGCTGGTGAAAACGTCGTGTCATGGTTCCCAATTGTGCAGCTAACGGAGGAGCGTGGAAGCTGTGCTTTCCATTTACGTAATTTGCGGGCGCTGGCTGCACGGCTTCGTAATATCCGCACATGATCAGTCATGCGATTCGAACAGCTCGTTGGCACTGAAAACCCATCTTCCGCCGTATCAATTTCCGCATATCCCACGTTTGTGAACTCAGCATAATGTCTGAGCGAATATGACCTGCTAAGGGTGCTGGGGAGACATCTATCAAGCATTTACTGTTGGCACAGAAATAAAGACACGTAAGAATCGAAGTAACGCAACTGCCCGACACAAACGTTTGTTTTCCGACAGCGAGATGTTGTGGGCAATGAGCATGATCTCATAGTATTTAAGATATGTGTATGCTCTGAATACTTTTTACAGTGTGCACACTTCTATCAAATGTTTGTTCATAACAACATACATGTACTTTAAGTGGTAAATTAAAAAATGGTACGAACATTGCCGCTGTGCACAAAATCCATGAAAGTGCACCAAACGCAATCACAAACACGGAGTCTCATCCCAAGCCAGTACTCTACGAGACCTCCACCTTCCGCTGTACGGGACGACTCACATTCGGGCGATGTATTCAGCGACAGAGGTGAGAGCCAAGCCACTACTCTACGAGACCTCCACCTTCCGCTGCGCGGGATGACTCACATTCGGGCGATGTATTCAGCGACAGAGGTGAGAGCCATGCCCAGGCGGCCCACATCCTCCACATCCACATCCCGGGTCTTGGTCCGCAGGTGGTACCGCCGCGTGGCCTTGTCGAAGGCGGCGTTGATGGCGTCGAAAGTGATGCACGTGTCCTTGCCGGCGTAGGGCGGGCCGCCGCTGCACGGCATACGACCTCCCGTCAGCGTAACCCAGATATCGGAACACGGCGGCGGGAACGCGCCCGGCCACGTGGGAACGCGCTGCACCCGATGCCGCCCAGAGCGCCCCCGAGTGGGGGCGGGGCGCCCTGACGCGACTGGGAGCAGCACGCGGCGGGCACGAGGGCAGGAGCACAGGGGCAACGTGCACGTGGATCGATCATGGGCCAGTCACCGGCACGGTTAGCCGTCGATTGACAAAGGCGATCGAGAGGTGGCGACACGTCCCGACAGGACGTGCTCGCCCCAGCGCAGAGGCCTACTCTGCAGCCGTGATTTATCGGGCGTCCGACGGCGAGTTCCTGTAACGAGAGGGCGGGCCGGTCGCTCCGAACGCGCTCTGTCCCGCCGGTGAAGGGGTGGTGTTGGGCAACGTGGGAGCGTCGCCAGTCCCGGCGGACACCGCTGGTCATATTGGCCAGAGCGTGTCGGTGTCGGCACATTAGCGCCAGGCATCGGGGTCTCGGAGGGAGGCCGGGTATTCCCCCTGACATCGTTAGTCCAGGACATGCACGTTTGGAGCAGTGAATGGCGATTAGGACGGCGGTCAGCCAGTGTTGAATGCGTTGTCGATTTGGCAAGGGTCTGGTGGCACGTCCTTACTCATCCACTTATTCAAGGTAATGATTTCCTTAGCTGCGTCTGTAATTTGCACTAATCAGGCAACTTCAGATTACAAGAAGGGTTGAGCAACGTAAGCCATTGTAACACATCGTTGTTTCCCGTAAGTGCCATTGAAAGGTGTCAAACAATGAGTTTCATAAGCGATGGTCATTCGCTGATACCGTGATGAAAGGTAACATAAAGCCATCATTCCTCCGCAGCGTGCTTTTATCATCAGATTTGGCAGCGCAAGAAGACAACGATGTGCAAAGTCTTCCGAAGACATCGGCTCGGTAACCGCTAGCTGCGAACACCATAAGTCCCCCCCCCCCAGCCAGGCGCCCGTGACCGCCCTCGCGCCAAATACCTCCTGACCGAGTGAGGCAATGCAGTGAAGGCCGCGCTCTACCATGTCCGCCGCTGGCCGTTATAGACACCGGCCGAATGCCGCCCGCCTGTGGAGCGCGACGACGCGGTGGCGGCGGAGCGGCGGGTGTCCGCGTTACAACATGAGCGGCGAGCTCGCGCCGGCCACCCGGTGGCGCACGCCCCGGACTTCCGCAGCGACGGCGTGGCTTGTGCCGAACCGATGCCGTGGAGCGTCGGCGCCGTGAGCACTCGCCGTTCGAACCTCGTCCTCCCGTCGCCGGTACTCACCCAGGTCCCTGCAGCACGTTACGGGTGTGGTCGTACTGCGACGACCGGCCCGGGCCGGGGATGATGAGTGCGCAGGTGTCCTCGTAGGGTCCGGACTGTGGTCCGGGTCCGCCGGCCGGTCCCGAGTGCGGGCCGGGACCGGGCCCGTGACCGAGCGGTCCCGGCCTCGGCGGCCGGCCGAACGGTGGCGAGAAATGGTCCCCGGACGAGTGCACCACGCTGCAACAGGCGCGGCGAGTCAGTGGCAGCCGTAGTGACCGGGAAACACTGTGCTCCTGAGACCTCGTCGAGCGGCAGACGGTGGTAAACTTCACAGCACACGTTGTGCAGCAGAAGTCGGTCGCATAAAGAAGCCGTGTGGTGGTCAGGTCTCAAGAAGCTGATGGCTGTAGTTTATTTTTGATACATCGGCTCCGTATCAGTGCATACTTTTCTCTTCCGTGCTTGCAGCTTTCTATACATCCCTCCAAGCACCTCTTACGTCTAGAAGCAAGCGTGCGTACAGCTACTAAGTCATCGGTGTAAGCCCCCTTCCACAAAAGGCGTCGTCGCACTGACGCTGAAGAGGAGCCCGGTAATTTTTGATGTGTGTCAGACAGCGTCATACAGCGATGCCGGAAGGCCACCCCATCACCGCACCGCTCCTTCACGGCCGTCCGGTAGGACACACGATGACCGTCGGCCGTCTCGTCCCACGCTCGGCTACAAAACTGCAGCCGGTGACGGCCGCCGGGCGCCGGGCCGCTCCGCTGGCGCCGGCTCATCCCCTCGCTGCGGGCGGTGGCTCTTACCTGGAGCTGAACGAGTTGAATCCGGAGATGTTGGCCTTCGCGGCCACGGCCAGCAGGCCCAATGCGAGTATGGAGAGCCTGGAAAACCGGAGACCCCAGGTGAAGTCATTGGCTGTCTTCGTGCAATGGTAGAAACGCGTGAACTGATTAAGAATATATAACAAATTAATACAAACAAAAGCGAAGTAAACTTTGAGTGCACCAACGTGACGTGCGTGCCTTTGATCAGGTTAAGATTCAAAATAGAATAATTATTATTGAGCATTTGGGGTAAGTCAAGGTTGATTAGAATAATTCCCTTATATGATTCCGTACCATCACCGATTCAATTTCTGTCCTTGGAATGACTAAATCAGAGTGAGGTTGTTTTCAGGTAAACTTCAAGCGTTGTTGGATCTCCTGGATGTCAATATTTCTCGTGATTAATGGAAATACTTGCAATGGTACATACGTAAAGAGGTACTTTGGGTTAAAGCACTTAAGCACAAAAGCCTTAGCGTATTATTCCCAGGTTTACTCAAAATTTGTTGTGAACTTTTGCCCATTGTTTTTTTTTACTAGAGCTCCAGTGAAGAGAAGGGGATCAGGAAGGGGGAGAGGGAAGGGCGAGTCCCAATTGCACTAAGGCCTCTGAAGCCTCAATATGACCGCTGCAGTGGCTCGCTCTACATTGAAAAGCGTAGCTCGGCCAACCTAAAAATCTCATATTTACTGCCATCGATTGCTTTCACTGAACCATTAGTTCCAGTCATGGTCAAAGCAAGTTTTATTCGATTCACGTATCGGCCCCCATCGCTTTTGAGCCCGAGCAAATTGAATCACAGGAGCTGAATCATGCGCAGGTGTGACAAATGAAATGACCACGTCATCCGTCAACGCTTTCTCTGTCACACGCGTCACACACATCCGCCCCGGCAGTGGCTGGTGTGCCAAAGTCACGGCGAAAAATTGCTCTGATTTACGGCGGTGGCGTTGCCGCGAGATTTTCCCGTCTTTTCCACGGGTCGCCCTTTGTGGCGAGGCGCCTGGGTCACAATCACCCGCCCGGTAACCAGTCGCCGGTCGGCCAGTCACGGCGGCAGGCTGCTCACCGAATGCATGCTTTAATAGAAAGAGCGAAAGTGGCGATCCCCCGGGGTGCAGCCAGCCGTGCTAACACGGCAGACTCTCTCGGGCTGCGTCTGACTGGGTCCTGGCGCGCCCCACCCAGGAGCGCAGTGGCGAGGTCCATTTGGTCAGCGCCGCTCACTCGCGTCGGACCGCGCTCCGGGTGACGTTGACCGCCCCCCCCCCCCCCCGGATCATCGCCGCCGGCGACGGAGCAGCATCGCAGCGTGCGGGCCGGCCGCCACCGGTCCGCACCTGTCACCACTTTCTCGTCGGCGGCATAGCGGGGCGGCCGCGCGCGTCAGCCAGGTCGCCGGGCGGGACGCGCGGCCGACGGCGGCCGGAACCGGACCGGCGGCGCGAGTCGTGACTGCGAAGCTGGAGCGAGGCTGGCCGGAGCGGCGGCGAGCCGCAGGACTGGGTTACGGCCTCCGAGCAAGGTCGCCGCCCGGTTAGGCTGGCAAGCCTCCGGAAGGGGCCGGCTGAGACGGGGTGAATGCGAAACGGCGGCGGATGGAAAGGGCTATTTGTCTTGGAAGATAATCGATCCTAGTGGTCCCGAATGAGCCGGCACGACCTTGCCGCCCATGACCAATTGCTCCATCGCAGCCGATCCATCAGGCGAACAGGGCCGAGAACAAGCCATCGGTTAACGTTGCTTTACGCACGCAGCGCCCCGCCATGCGAGAAAATCGACCCGCCGTAGCGATGTAACACGATTTTCCGGATTATGGTAAGCTGCGGCCTTGAACACAGCACGAGGTTCTCAGTCATAAGTGACATATTTCGCTGGGCTAGTAATTTAGTGCTGACAGGGTTGCCACCTTATACGCAGAAGGCTTGCAATATTTAGATACGTGGAAAACTCGCTCCTTTCTTTTGACAAGCAGCTATAACTGAGTTGGCATGTGGATGCTGTTAGATAGCCGCTGATGTTGACATAGTCGCGCTTTGACATGGCACACACACTTCAGTTGAAAGGTCATCCGGTCCTTTCAACAAACGCTACCGTAGTTTTGAAGTGATATGCTAAGTTAAGCCATTACACACGCTGAGACGCTTAAACCAACTATTCATTCGGACACCGTGAATGTGTTTCATCACGCATATCTCTCCAGCTGGGCACTAGTTATCTGTGGTTATTTCTAGGCCAACGTGACCATGCGCGTAGTGCTACTTTCTAGACCTAGGAAAAAAACGCAGAAGAAATGATAGATAGCACCGCATGTGAAAAACAAAATTTTACTTTTAATTGTGCAAAACTCTTTGCTTTTGCGGTACATATTTTGCATGATAAATCTTGTATGTCTAACAATATTTCCATGGATGCTATTGCAAGAATGACGGAAGGTGTGAGCGTTCCTTACGTTAGATGCACGAGATAGGAAACCAAGCCAGGAGCCGACAACCAATGTCGAATGCTACGGGACACTTAACGCACAAAGACTGACATTAGCCATAATAAATAGCGATTTCACACATCATACTAGTTCCAGTTAAAGGAGACATAATGCGATGCTGTCCGATGCCGGCAATGCTCTTTACTTTGAACGTGGAATTTCAAGCAACTAGAACAGGGCACTCACAAGAGATTGGAAAGAAATGCCCAGTATTCTGGCAATCAACAAACCTCACTAATTTTACTCTGTGGACGATGCAAACGTAACTGTTAGTGATTTGGAGTCTGTATGAAAATAATGAGCGTCATACAAATATTCTGGTCCTTTGGTCGAATCAGAACCAAAAACACGTCAATGTCAGCTGACACGCTCAGGTAGCCACAACTCACGACTGTGCGATTCAAGGTATCAGGAATACCTGCAGATCAGCGCCTTAAAATGCTGGGTGCATAGTTAAGCGCCACTGGCAACTGTAAACATGGCGTCCGTAACATGGTCGTAAGCAGCATGAGGTCCGTCATGAATACGCTGCGTTAACATGACGGCAATAAAAAGGATAATAGCGGCAGTCAAAAGCCCTTTGATATCAAAATCAAGTTACGTTATGCCACGCGTAAAAATTTGAAAGACTCAGCTGAATAATTTACAATAGTGCATAGCAAAAGACGTATGAAGAGGAAGGTCGACGAAGGCTGTAGCAAACGGACAATGCCAAAAATTAGCAGACGGTGAACTTAGGGCAATGGGCGCAAGAGTACTGTGCAGGAGCAAGATCAGAATGGGGAAGTAAATACTACGGGGTCAAAGTCGCTTGGGTAAAGTTACTGCAGACTAGATGACCTTGTGATTTCAACGACTCGCTCATATCGAAATACACGAGGCACTATCTTAGAAAATACAAGCCATCACACATCAATGAAAGCATTCTAGTAATCTCCAGAGACGAAGGCGGGCTTAGCGTCCCGTTTGATTTATGGTAGGTTAGGAGAAAACATCGTTATTCATCGACGAGAAAAGAAACATCAAAAATGCTCTTTAATGCCTTCACATCGCACGAGCAAAGCGTATATGAGACCGAAAAACGAGCAGATGCTGGCGTTCTCAAAATGGTGACACGTCACAGTCACAAATTTATCTGATTATAGCTAGTCTTGATGAGCCGTGACACGTTTGCTGCGGACTGTTCACTTTCGTTCGAGCACAGTAGCACATGGTGTGGCGCGTATATACAAAGTGAAGCGCGCTACAGAAAAATACAAATGTTGGCAATGGCCGCTTGATCTTACTGCTGCCGAGAATGCGTTGAGGACTGAATGCTATGCGGGAGTTCGTGGTGTCGGGTATTCGTATATGTCGTCTTGATGCATACAGGATGAAGAAATAAGGTAGGAGAACATTTGGATGTTTTTTCCTGACGCGACGGGCTGTGTCCAAACAAAGTGTCAAATGCCTTAACGTAGTGAATAAGCCTTAAACCAAGGTAGGAGTAATTTTCCCTGCAATCTCGCCAATCAATGGTACGGGTATTCCGGGAATTTTTCGCAGCCACTGCGGTTGCGCCACCTCTGATTGCTCAGCTTCAAAGGCGGCAGTCAGTTGGCATTGAGCTGATGCACGGAAGAAGCCACGACAGGTGGCCATGACTGACTTACCATGACTTAGCCATGAATTACGTCGAGCAGGTCTCAAACAAGATCAAGAACAAATCTCTAGTCCAGTTCTGACGGGTCCAAAGCTCTGGACATTGAAAATGGCATGCACAAACGGCAATCAACCAGTGGCAGTCGGGTGGCACAAATTAATCAAACGATTCAGGAAAAGTGGACAACCTGACGACCGGATCCACAGGAAAAACTGGTGGCGCAAAAAAGGAAAATCAGGAGCAGCGGCGCTCGGCGGCCCGGCCATCGGGCGTGGCAGCCCGTCGACGGCATGGCCCGTCCCCCTCCCCTCACTCTCGCTGACAGCATCGTCCGGGGGAGGCCTGTCGCCGCGCCGCGAGATTCGCCACACCCGCACGCGGCAAGGAAACGCCGCCTGATGCGGCGCGGCGCACCGGCCGCCTGATCTCGGCATCAGCTGAGGCCCCACACGGCGTCAGTTCCGCGAGATGAATGGGGAAACCGCGCCGCGACTGTCGCGTCAGCTCAGCCGGCCGTGTCGCGCCGCGCCGCCGGCTGGTCCCGCGCTAACCGCGATGTGACGATACATGCCGGCGTGTCTGGCGAACAGCTGTCTCGTCTCACGTGTTCCCGCACCACTACCTGGTGCCGGGTTTCGGGTCTGTGAGTTGTAGCGGCTCGTCGCGTCTGGCAGACACAAGTGCTGCGATGTGAGTGAAGACATGTCAGTGACTGTGTTTTAGGCCTTAAACACAGGTCAAAAAGGACAGCGGACTTCCTGACTTATGCTGTCGAAGGGCTGTTATTGTTTCTATCTCAAACATATTTTCAAACATATTCCAGAAATCCTATAATTTTGATGGTGCCTGACTACTGTAGACAAATTGAATAAAGAATAATTTCTGACCGTGGGCAATTTCTGAGATATCCATATCGAGTATGCCGAAGA